ACCCGAGTCCACTCCTGTCAATCCAACCCCAACCCACTCCTGTCAGTCCAACCCCAACCACTCTTCCAACCCACTCCTGTCAATCCAACCCCAACCCACTCCTGTCAGTCCAACCCCAACCACTCCTCCAACCCACTCCTGTCAATCCAACCCCARCCCACTCCTGTCAGTCCAACCCCAACCACTCCTCCAACCCACTCCTGTCAATCCAAACCTGCTGGAAATAAGACAGGGGGCTCAGCACTCAGCAGCATCCTCATCAGACCTTGTGGTAAATGGAAAGATTTTTCTTTAAAACATGGGTTTTCTGGCTGGGTGCTGTGGCTCACACCTGTAATCCCAGTACTTTGAGAGGCCAAGGAGGGTACATCATGAGGTCAGGAGTTCGAGACCAGTCTGGCCAACATAGTGAAACCACGTCTCTACTAAAAATACAAAAAATTAGCTGGGTGTGGTAGCATGCCTGGCTAATAATCCCAGCTGTAATCCTAGCTATTTGGGAGGCTAAGGCAGGAGAGTTGTGCGAACCCAGGAAGCGGAGGTTTCAGTGAGCCGAGGTCGTACAACTGCACTCCAGCCCGGGTGACAGTGCAAGTCTCTGTTAGAAAAAACAAACAAACAAAAAAACCATTGGTTTTCTGATGTCATTTTGCATAGAGTGGACTGCTGAGGGTCACTGAAGGTTGAGAGAGAGAATACATGACAGGAACAACCATTTCAAATCCAAGGAGAGGTATGACATGTGCAGGTGACAGGGGCAGAAGGAACAGGGCAGTAGGTGGGAGGGACGGGGGTGGCCAGTGCGGGGAGAGGAAGGGGAGGACTTCCAGTGCCTGGAGGGAGGTGACCCCTCTCCGTTAAAAGAGACCCCCTCCCTCCTGGGCTCAATCCCATAATTAGCAGCAAAGGCAGCTGGCCAGGGATGGCAGCTGTACGGGTGTGAAATGGTAGCAGTGCCTCAAGCATTTTCCTCAGCACCTTTCGTCATTAGCCATTTGTTTCCTCCCCACAACAATTAGTGCTAATGTGACATGTGCTCATTTTTATATGGGATAAAACTGCCACCCAGTGCGATTTGGTGCAAATGAGTCGAACCAGACAGGCTCGCCCTGAGCTTCCTCTTTTGTTTCTGGAGTGAGTCCTCCTGCTGGGGACTTTTCTCACCAGGCACTCAGGGGTACTGGTGCAGGAGCTCTAGACCTGAGTGGACTCCAGCAAGTCCATTAATGCAGAGCTTGCATCCCCCCAGAGCTCCCACCAACCCAGAGCCTCTACCAACCCAGAGCTCCCACTAACCCAGAGCTCCCACCAACCCAGAGCTCCCAACAACCCAGAGCCTCTACCAACCCAGAGCTCCCACCAACCCAGAGCTCCCACCAACCCAGAGCTCCCACCAACCCAGAGCCTCTGCCAACCCAGAGCCTCTGCCAACCCAGACTTCTACCAACCCAGAGCTTCCACCAATTCACAGCTTCCACCAACTCAGAGCTCCCACCAACCCAGAGCCTCTGCCAACCCAGAGCCTCTACCAACCCAGAGCTTCTACCAACCCAGAGCTCCCACCAACCCAGAGCCTCTACCAACCCAGAGCCTCTGCCAACCCAGAGCTCCCACCAACCCAGAGTCTCTACCAATCCAGAGCCTCTACCAACCCAGAGCCTCTACCAACCCAGAGCTTCTACCAACCCAGAGCTTCCACCAACTCACAGCTTCCACGAACTCACAGCTTCCACTAAGTCAGAGCTTCCACCAGTCCAGAACTTCCACCAATCGGGAGCTTCCACCAAGCCAGAGCTTCCACCCAGGGCTTTCACCAACCCAGAGCTTATACCAATCCAGAGATTCCACCAACCCAGCGCTTCTACACAGAGCTCCTACCAACCCAGAGCTTCCACCAACCTAGAACTTGCACCAGCCCAGAGCTTACACCATCCTAGAGCTTCTCTCAACTCAGAGGTTCTGCCCAGAGCTTCCACTAGCCCAGAGCTTGCACCAAGTCAGAGCTTTCACCAACCCAGAGCTTCTTCCAACCCACAGCTTCTTCCCAGAGCTTTCACCTCAACCCAGAACTTCTGCCAACCCAGAGCATCCATTAATCCAGAGCTTCCATCCAGAGTTTCTGCCAACTCAGCTTCCACTAAGCCCAGAGTTTGCACCAAATCCAGAGTTTGCACCAACACCAAACTTACTTCCAACAAACCAGATTGCACCAACCCAGAGCTTTTGCCAACCCAGAGCTTCCACCAATCCAGAGCTTCCACCAACTCAGAGCTTCCACTAATGCAGAGCTTCCGCCAACCCAGAGCATCCACCAACCCAGAGCTTCTTCCAACCCAGAGCTTGCACCAACCCAGAGCTTCCATTAACCTAGAGCTTCCATCAACCCAGAGCTTCCACCAATCCAGAGCTTCCATTCAGAGCTTCTGCCAACCCAGAGTTTCCACCAATCCAGAGCTTCTGCCAGCCCACAGCTTCCACCAGCTCCAAGCTTCCTCCAACCCAGAGCGGGCACCAATCCAGAGCTTCCACCAACCCAGAGCTTCTGCCAACCTAGAGCTTCTGCCAATGCAGAACTTCTGCCCAGAGCTTGCACCAACCCAGAGCTTCTGCCAACCCAGAGCTTCTGCCCAGAGCTTCTGCCAGCCCAGAGCTTCTGCCAACACAGAGCTTCTGCCAACCCAGGGCTTCCACCAACCTATAGCTTCTGCCAACCCAAGGCTTCCATCAGCCCAGGGCTTCTGCCAACCCAGAGCTTCTGCCAACCCAGAACTTCTGCCCAGAGCTTCCGTCAACCAAGAGCTTCCACCATCCCAGAGCTTGCACCAACCCAGAGCTTCCACTAAACCAGAGCTTGCACCAACCCAGAGCTTCCACTAAACCAGAGCTTGCACCAACCCAGAGCTTGCACCAACCCAGAGCTTGCGCCAGCCCAGAGCTTACAGCTCAGTCTCTGGAAAGGGGGGAACGGCTGTGTGGGTGGCATTCGTTCCAGGTGTGACTCTGAGGGGATGGCCAGGCTGTGCTGTGCTTACTTTCCAGAGGGCAAGAAGGAACAACCCAGGGACTAGGGCCACACACACACACACACATACACACACACACTGCACAAATCACACACACACATCACACACCCAGCACACACACACACTGCACAAATCACACACACACATCACACACCCAGCTGCACACACACACACACTGCACAAATCACACACACACACACTGCACACATCACACACACTGCACACATCACACACACACACACACCCAGATATACACACACACTGCACACATCACACACACATCACACACCCAGATATACACACACACACTGCACACATCACACACACATCACACACCCAGATACACACACACACACACTCTGCACAAATCACACACACACACTGCACACATCTCACACACACACTGCACACCACACACACAGTGCACACGTCACACACACACATTGCACACCACACACACTGTGCACACCTCATAACACAGACACTCACACACACACACTCGCATGATGCCTTCTCCGTGGCCAGGAGACGTGAGGCCTGTGCCTGTGCCCGTGCCCCTCTGTCTGGGGCCTGCCTGTAGGACGGTGTCCTCCTGAGACTGGGCTGCATGGACGCGTGTGGGGCCAGGTGTCTGAGCCCCGTCCTCCTGGCCGCCACTCCTGTGGTGCTGGTGAGGTTGGGCGGCCAGAACTCAGTACCACGGCCCGGGCCTTCAGCAGCAACTTGGATTCTTCACTGCTCTGGCGCTGGGCATCCCACAGGGGGTTGGGGGCTTGGGCCTGGCGAAGCCCCTCCCGGCTCCAACAGGGTCCTTGGAGGGGGGCTGGCTCTGCAGTCCCTTCCTCACCTTAGGAGGACACCCACCCCACTGGCTCAGGACCACTGTACAATTGGGTCTCACCCTAGCACTGCTCCACGGGCCCCTCTCCAGACGCAGCTCCCCTGCCAGCAGGGTTCTGGGGACAGCCCTGCTCTGCAGCTGTGGCCTCTGGGCCCTGCTCTGTGCCCTTCTGGCTGCTTCCTGGTGTGGATCTTGGGGCCTCTGGGCTTCCCCAGATGTCTGAGAATAGAATCAGCTTCCCTCCCTCCTGGTAGCAAACCTCATTGATTCAGTCCCAGGACCCTCCAGACGCTTCTGGCATCTGGGCCCGTCCATTCCCACCAACAACCGCGTCATGCCAGCTTCCTCCTTCCCCTCTCGGGAGAGGAGCCATCCTCGCTGGCCTTCCGGAGGCTTGTGGGGCTGTGGGATGGAGGATCCTCCCTCTCAATGTTCCTTCCGGTAAAGCCCCTCACCTATGTACAGAGTTGGTTCATTTGACACCTATCATGGGCACCTGGGTCCCTACCCAGGGCTGTGAAAACTGACCTTTTTCTGGAGCTGGCTGATGTGACCACCTGGGCCATTCAAAGGAGTCGGGACTGGTGTGTGCCCGGTGCATTTAGAAGCAAAGAGGAGGGGACAGGAGCTGCTGTTTCCTAGAAGAATGGTCGGTGATGACGGCCTGCCTGCTGCAGTGTGGGAGGAGGACGTTCTTGCGGACACTGACCTTCAAGCTGGAGCCTGGAGGCGAGAGGGACTCTGCCACACCCAGGGTGCGCCTCCCACCTCGTCATTGCTCAGGCCCCCTTCACCCTTTGTGCTGTGGGGAGGGAACCAGCTAGAGACAGTGTCACGCTGCATGTGACAGGAAGGTGACATTCTGGTCTCAGAGCCTGAGGCTGATGCCTGTGGGGCAATTTCAGGGGAGCACAGAGAGGGGGCCCCAGACAGCCCTTTGCAAACAGAGGCAGGGTCAGGCCAAACCGCAGGGACAGGGGGCAGGTGCAGGATGGAGTCTGAGGTCTGGGCCTGGGCTCAGCCTGTTTCAGCTGCTGCTCAGATGCTTTCTGCAGAGGGGACGTGTCCCCCTCTCCACCCATGAGTGCATTCGCATGTGGGGCACTGCTCCCGGCTGAGACCAGGGTTTGGCTCCAGTGGCTATTTTTAGGTGGTTTTTCCTCTGTGTCTCATCCCCAGCTCTCGGCTGCTGTGCCTTAGTGGTGTTCCCATTCCTCCCTCACAGCAGCGGTCCTGTGGTTTCAGGGGCAAGCGGGGGACGTGTCCCCGGGGACTGACTCCTGCTTGCTCCCGAGGGGCACTTTGGCAGGGCGGACGTTGGAAGCTGAACGCAGAGGAAGCATCTGGAAGCAGAGCCCTTGGCCTCAGCCCCCTGTCCTGGGTGAGTCAGGATCTCTGCTGGGGAGGGCTCTGGGGAGACAGCTCTGCAATCCTCTCTTCTCGGTTCACGAAGAGCCAGGCCTGGGTTTGACCTTCATGCATGAAGGAAGGAAAGCGGGTGGAACAGCCGTGGACGTGGGGGCAGATCAACTAGTCAGCAGTGGCGACCGTGGACTTGACTTTCACTGGAAGCTCAGAAATACTTTGGTCATGCTGTCAAATCTTGTTATCTCTGAAGGGGAAGTGGGGAGCTTCCTTTGTGTCAGGGCAGACAGGAGGTGTGGCGGGAGGCCAGGGGAGGCGGGTGCCTGCACTGGGTTCTGAGCAACCTTCAGGGAGGAGGGGGCCTAGAAGGGCAGGAAATGGCCAGATGTTGTTCCGAAGCCCCTTGGACAAGGGTCCTGGGGACAGGAGAAGCCCTGGATGGTGTCAAATAGAAAACCAATCTGGACTTAGGAGGGACCAGTGGGTTGTGGGAAAGGAAGGGGAGGGAGGGGGCCGTGGGGAAGGGGTCTGACCTGAGGCCCCCTTTTCACAGAGGGGTTGGCTGCGAGATGGAAGCCCCTTCCCAGCTCCTGGCTGTCTCTTTAAATGTCTTTTGAGTTTCAGTTCTCACTATGAAATGTCTCGTTCGTTTGGTGTTTACTAGTCCATTTCCTTTTAAGCAAAGGAATTTTTCCCTCGCAGACACCCTACAAGTCACCAGCAGCAGGTGATTCACTGCTAGAGTCAGGCGTCCACTCCAGTGAACTTGAGAAGGGCTAGGGTTGAGGGGCACAAAACATGGCAGCCGAAGGCAGGCCTACTTGGCAGGGTTTGTGGGCATCTTTCTCTAGGGAGGGCTGTGGGCACAAGCGAATGTCTAGCACAATTGTCTTTTTTTTTTTTTTGAGATAGATTCTTGCTCTGTTACCAAGGCTGGAGTACAGTAGTGTGATCTTGGCTCACTGCCTCCTGGGTTGAAGTGATTCTCCCAGCTTAGCCTCCTGAGTAGCTGGGATAACAGGTGTGTACTACCATGCCCAGCTAATATTTGTGTTTGTGGTAGGGATGGAGTTTGTGATATTGCCCAGGCTGGTCTTGAACTCCTGGACTCAAGCAATCTTCCTGCTTCAGCTTCCCAAAGTGCTGGGATTACTAGCATGAGCCACAGCATGTGGATTGCAGTTATCTTTAGATCTAATCAGATATTCCTGAAATTTGAGTTTACGAGGATCTGCTAATTCAGAAGGAAGTTCTTTACTCCCAAAACCACAGAGCCCTGCAGTGGGTGTGAGTGTGGCCATAGACCCAGGTGACTCTCTTCAACTGTGGCTCATCAGGAGTCTCATTCATGGGAAATCCCAAGTTCATCCACTTTAGGGAGAGCCACATATTTGTAAATTCTGCCTTTTACTTTTTGTATTTTTGAGAGAGGGAGAAAATACGTTCACGCAAAGTAACGAAACGACAGCTGTTAGAAGGGTTTTGCATGAATCCCTTATTGTTCTGCTCTGCAACCGACTTGGCCGCTAACCCTGGATGGCCACACCCAGACCTGTTCCCTCCTCAGGCCCAGGAGCTCCTGGACACTCCAGGCAGCCTCCCAGGACCGCTGGCAGGCACTTCGCACAGATCTGTCACAAGTGGTTTAACTGTCTGTTTGAACCTTCTCAAGTTACAATTCCAAGGAGTCCCAAGGAAGTAAAGTGATTTTAAAAACACAGAAAACAGTTTTCAGAATTTCTCTAGCCAGCCATGAAGGAGTAGCTAGTATGGAATTCATGCTGTTTGCTGTTTTTTTTGTTGTTGTTGTTTCTTTTTGGGCCAAAAGAACTAGAAAGCTGGACAAAACAGGCAAAACAATTAGATTTGGACATCAGGACAAGAGGCTGGACAAGGCTGTCGTCCCTAAGAGATAGGAAAAAATGAAGCGAGTTGTATAATCAACGCTGTTTTCTTCTGGAGGCAGTTTTCATGCTGTCAGGCAGGGAGGGGGAATCCAGGCAGAGCATGGTGATCTAGCTGAATTGAGGAGAAGAAAGCCGGCTTTGGGGAGCAGAGGTGAGACAGGATAGCAGAGAGGAGGAAGATACTCAAAGAAATTCAAACACCTATGTAAGATCTCTTTGAGTCTTTACGTAATACCAATCTGTACATGCATAGGTGGAATTCTAGGAAGTGAATAAAGAACAGTGAGGTATAAGCCGAAAAGTTGCTAGAACTCACACCAGGAGGCAGGATATCTGAACTCCATCTGTTCAGCTGGAGACCTCACAGAGCACTTGAAGCACTCAATAGACAATACAAAGGACCAAGCCTTAGTGGTAGGAATGAATTAGCTCTAGAATAAAGGCTACTCTAGATACCCCAAGAAAACATAAAAGCAAGCCTCAAAAAGATCAACCTCATCTGCAAGTAACTTTATTACTTGCCAGAACAAATGTCAACACTCTTTAAAAAGGAAAAAAAAATCCATATATTTATCAGTTATATTCAAAATGCCTGTCACCCAATAAAATATTGTGAGATATGTGAAGCAGAGATTGTGATACATAACTAGGCAAGATGTCAGTCCATAAAAACAGACCCAGGAATGACAGGAATGATAGAATGAGGAGATAAAGAATTTTAAATGGCTCTTATAAATATTATAAATATGTTTAAGCATGTAAAAGAAAACATGAATGCAGTCTGAAGAGAAAAGGAAGGACTTGAAAAACAAATGGGATCTCAGGAAGTGAAAAATAATTTTGCAAATGAAAAGTTCATTAGATGAGATCAACAGCAGATTCAAAACTGCAGAAGAAAAGATCAGTAAACTTGAAGACGGGGCAATAAAATCTGTGAAAACAGAAGCATAGAGAGGAAACAAGACTAGAAAAAAATGAACAGAGCCTCAGGGCATGTTGTCTAACATGCTTGTAATTGGAATTCAAAAATAAAAGAAGGGTGAGAGACAGTAGCAGAGAAAATGTATTAGAAAAAAAAAAATGGCCCCCAAATCAATTTGATAAAAAGTGAAAACCCACAGATCCAGGAAGTAAAACAAATCTCAAACAGTGTAAACACTAATGAAAGTACATCAAGGCATATCATAATCAAGCTGCTGAAAACCTATGATAAAGAAAAAATTTTAAGAGTGGCTAGAGGAGCAGAAGACTACATTTAGGGGAACAACAATAAGATGACTACACACTTCTCTTTAGAAAGATGCGAGCTAGAAGACAGTAGAATGACATCTTTCAAATAGAGAAAAAGAATCTATAACCAAAAATTTTATATTTAGCAAACATATCTTTCAAATATGAAGGTAAAATACTTTTTCAGATACACACAAAACGCTATTTTTTAAACTAGTGTGGCTATTCATCAATAAATATAAAAAGAACTTCCTTTAGGGATAAAATGGAATCCTTAAAAACCCAATCTGAAATAAACCAGGAAAGGAAAAATAAAAGAACAAGAAACATGAATCAAATAGAAAAAAAAATATCAAGTTGGTAGACTTGAACCCAACTATATTAAAAATTATATCAAATGTAAATGGTTTAAACATTCTAATTAAAATGCAGAAACTGTCAGGCTAGATTTAAAAAGCAAGACCCAATTATATGCTAACTACAGGAAATGAGCCTTAAATACAAAGACAGAGAAATAAAAGTGGAAGGATGGAATATGGTACAGCATGCAAATAGTAATCATAAGAGAGCTGGAGTGGCTCACAAAGTAGACTGTAGGAAAGGAATAATATCACCAGAGATAAAGAGGGACATTTCATGATAATGAAAAAGCAAATTAATTCACCAAGAAGAAATAACAACCCTCAGTTGGTATACTCCCAATAACAAACCTTCAAAATACACAAAGAAAATAATAATAGAACTGAAAAGAGAAATAGAAATCTGTATTTAGAGATTTCAAAACTTCTCTTTCAATTACTGTGGACTGAAAATTCATAAGAATATGGAAGAGTTGAAAATACTATCAACCAACTCGATCTAATTGACATTTATGCAGAATTCCTCCCCAAAAAAGCAAAATACATATTATTTGCAGGTGCATATAAAATTTACCATAGTAGATAATATTTTGACTCTCAAACAATTCTCAAATTTGGAAAGATTTAAATGAGGTAGAATATGTTCTCTGACCACGGGGAATTAAACTTCCATAGTATTTCAGAAGTTAAGAGCAATACTATGTTTACTTTAAGGAACAGTGATAATTAGTGTTCATAAGGCATGCCTTATAAGGATTTCTTCCATGCCTCAATTCATTTATAAGACATGCCTTAAGTATGTCTTCAGAAAATTAAATGTAAAATAGGTATAGTGTTAATATTTTATGAAATTTGCAAATGTACTCATAATTGAGAGAGTAGTTCAATGAAACCTATATACTCACCACTCAAATTTCACAGTTATCAAGAATATGGCATATTTGCTTCACCAATTTGGGGATCTGAAGCAGATCCCCAATATTATATGATTTTACTCCTACATATTATAGTTTGCCTCTATAAAAACACTGGATATTTTCTCATGTGATAAGTAATAGTAATTCTTTATGATCATAAGACCTTGCAGCTGTTGCAGTAGGGGGGAGAACCTCAGTGCAGAACTAAACTCAGTGCTAAACACAGCAAAGGCAGCTGGGGATTCATCACCAAAGAGCAAAGCAAGGGGGTCAGTGGATGGAAAAGTACTAAGAGAAACTTAATTACATGTTGTATTAGTTTGCTAGGGTCGCCAAAATAAATCCACAGGCTGGATGGAAAGTAAACAACAGAAATTTATTTTCCCACAGTTTTGGAGGCTCGAAGTTCAAGATAAAGATGTCATCAGGTTTGGTTTCTTCTGAGCCCTCTCTCCTTGGCTGTCCTCTCCCTATGTTCTCATGTGATCTTCCCTTTGTGTGTACCTATGTCTGTGTCTCCTAATTTCCTCTTCTTGTAAAGACACCAAACATGTTGGATTAGGGTTCACTCTTATCACCACATTATACTTTAATAAATTATTT